ATGAGAGTCCGTTGGATTTCAATGATCAGTCCATAAACAATTGGGAGCAATATAGAGTAAGTCCTTTTTATTTTTAAGAACACAACCACTTATTAAGATAATGAATGAGGTACTTGCATTGGCCTTCATTCGCCAGGATCACATTCAACGTGTAAAGACGATCAAATGCGTATATTGCAGTTTACCGTTTTGTAGTTTGAGAAAAATTGGGCATCCTCATCACTTGCGACCCATCTGTCCTAGTTGGGTGTGCATCCACTTTCTGAGCAGACAATTGGCGTGAATACTGAGCAGATAAACATACAAGCTCGCATTAGCACTTCTAATCTTCTCTTCTTGATACCTTTACGGTACTGGTTTGACACAATCTGTATTCACATTTGATTAACCGTCCAATTGATGGTCAAATGTTGTGTACGCCTAAGATCGGAAAGACCCAAATAGTCAAGATAGTATGAAGAACGTCTCCAAAGAGTGGTTTGTACTCAGCGTTCCAGTGATAAGGTGCATGGGTCCTCTGTGCTTGCAATCGTGTGTGACAATAGTTGATGTGAATGTGTGAGTACGCATGAATACCGTGATTACGATTGTAATCGACTTGATATTCAGTTGGACAATCAGGAGTATTGTATCTTTTTGTCGGGCAAGTCTTCAGCTTTTTAGACGTGCCCTGATGATCGCACTTGGGAAATGGATAGAGCGAGCATCCGGTTGGGTTTTCCAGCGAACCACCGGTCACAATACCAGTTTCCACCTAGTAATTCCATCCAATCGCAGGAAAACCTCCACGACATCCCAATCCACAGTACGGACAACAACAACCAATCAGATCAAGAGCACTCAAATCAGCCGTCAGTCGACCGTTGCTATCAATGCAAGTCCGATTGGTCATGGACTTGACAGCACCGAATGCCTGAAAAATATGCAGAAGGATAACACATTTTTGGTACCTCAACCACGATCTCACAAATTCGGTAAAAGATTTCCGTAGGATAATTCATGTTTCACGTTCGCTCCGTACCATTGAGAATCATGTTGTTGAGTGGGAAAAATTTCTTTCAGAGAAATAATTCTTCATTTTTCCGGTTACTTGTCGAAAGTACCACTTTCGAGATGCAAGCTTGTGTTGTCCTCAAACAGTTCACATGTAAACACAAAAAAACAAGTGTGAACACGTTTGACTTTAGTGATCAGGTAACAAGCAACAGGAAACGATCGGTTATATATCCTTTTCTCTCTCCAGCAAAATCATGCTATCAAAGCCATTGACCGGTTTCCCGGCTATTAAGAGAATAAATCGACTCTGAAGTGTCATGATAACATTTAGCGTGCAAAAAAATAACTTGTAAAATACCCTTCATCGTTTTATAGTTTTAGAGCAATCAATCATTCTCAACCTATAGATTCGATTCGCTTGTGTATCCAGTTTCTGTTCAGACCAATCGCTTGCGCACTGACCAGAAAGACTATTCAAGATATTGTTTCAACACAATCTGCAATCAGATATGATTGACTGGTGGAAAAATTCATGGTCAACCGTTCAGAAGGGTGCGGGATCGTGATGGCCGAAATAGACATATTGTATGAGGAATGCTCCAGGGAAGCGCCTTGTCCTGAAAGTAGATGGTTCAAGACCTGATGGCTACTCTAAGCATGCAATTGTGCTTGACAACTACGAATACGATTGAACACATCAGATCACATACCAGCAGGATCCGCAACTCGACTGATCTCGAATCTCTTTGATCGACGGTCATTGAGGCCATTTTTCACGAGCGTCAAACGACTTTGGTAGATCGCAATTGATTGCATTGTGGTGACCGGTCGGCCGACGTGAGTTCCGTTGCTCTGGGGTTTCGAACAAAGCTCCAAGTGTTGTTTGAACTCTGTCACATTCTTGAATCGTTTTGATGGAGCTGCCTTCCAATTGGCACCGTACTATCGGGCGAAGAGAGGTACAAAATATGCAATCATTGTGATTGAAGTGAGGAAGATTATTACTGATAACTCTAATTAGATTAACCGTATTCCTTCACTCACATCACGGACCAGTTCATCAAAGTGCTTGTCGGATTGTGAAGTCGCATATATAATGACGAAACTTGGCAGCAAAATAAACAGCCACATGTTGTAAGGTGGCCGCTCGTTCAGACCTAAATACCTGTGTTTATTTATCTACATTATTGATCACATGTTTGACATTATTGAACCTCCAGGTGGTCCCCGTTCGGGAAACACCCTATAGTACACGATTTCTAGAAACTGATGTTATTCTAATAAAGATAATGTCAATCTGAAGGAAAGCTGATATGCTTGTTTCGGTGTGATGTAAAACAGCAACTTTTGCCCGCTAGTATCATTTACTCCGTGACAAAAAGAGACAATGCGGTCAATAAACCTTCGACGGCAATTTGTGTTTTTCTCTTTAAAAACAGTATCCGCTCGTTGATGATGACGCCGTATTTGACCAGCCTCATCACCTCATCACATGTTCAGAATCACGATTTGTCCCTTTCAATTTTGGGCTCTTTTCGGATAGTCCCATTTCTATGCGCATAAACGGGTCATGCAAAAATGAACAGAAGTTTGCGTGAACTAATTGATTAATTTGAATGGAGAAGCCAAAAACACACTTTTGCACAATGTATTCTGGATCATCAAACGAGGCAACAAAAAGGGTCACGTCGCGACCTGTGAATGAATCGAAATCGCAATCTTGGTGGAAGGACAACCCCGTCCTCTCCTACCCTCACCCCCACGCATCAGTTTAACGCCGAACCGAATCGAACACAGTGAGAACAAGAGACAAAAATTGTCGAATAGAGAAGAAAACATATACAGTCAATCTCCTGCTATGTTGCAACCTTCGGGAATTTAAAATAGTGGATAGATTCCAGGAACTGTGACAAGGCATGTTAGCCAGTCGTAGATACTATTAAGTAGTATGTAAAATTGGTTAAGAGATTTGTGAGAAAACAAACCAGATCTATGAAAAAATGTCAATTCCGTTAGCTGTTCCTAAAGTTTATAATTATCTACTGTTTATTTATCACGGAATTTATATATACTGTACTGTGTATCCTTTATGTATCCAAGAAATGGAAATATTTCACCATGCCTTCAGCTTAATATTAGTACATTGCATCCGGTATTCAGCCCCTTTTCAGTTTCTTGTATCTAGTTATACCAAAACTACCTACCATTCTTCAGTGGAATTTTTCTAAATCAATTCTGGTATAATAATTCCAGATATTTCTCTATTCCTTTGCAATGTTAAGCTAATCACAGAATTGAGTGTCTGGACTCCACCATAATATGCGACTGTTTTAACTACTATAATAACAGCATCAATGTTAACTCATTCGATGAAAACTAGAATTAGCCAGGTTGAATAAGGGACAAAAACTCGCATTTGAAGGAAATCAGGTCATCTGAAATAAGTGAAATATCGGTTACCGGGTATTCTCGGAACATCGACTTATTTCTCGTATTCCAATCTGACTGTTCGTTGTGTAATCTATTCATGATTTTCTAGTGAAAAATTTGTAGCGTAGACAACCTTTTGTTGTTACCAGTGTACATTGCAACCAATATATTCGTTGTGGTCAGCGTTGTTAAACATAAACGACCGTCGCCTATGCTTCACAAATTTGAAGTGCATCGTTCAAACAGTCAAGAGCGCATCAGACCCGTGTTATGATGAACTTTAGCCAATGACCAGTCTAATTTCATCAGTGATCTAGCAAAGACATGCGCGAATATCGTACATCCATTCAGACAGACGCGTCCGCGTGACGGCGTTTATCGATCGCTTGGATCTGACATCTGACATCTTACTCCAGACACCCGCTCACCAGTCAATCGCGATTATCATTCACTCGTTTGCACGTCAGTGAGACAGAGCCTATCGATAGCCCCAATGGCCATGGCTTCGGTGACCACGGCAACAAAAATGATTCCATTCGGGTGCCCTACAGAATTGTGGGAAAAAATTGGCAGATAACAAAGATGTATTTTCAGCTTTTTACTTATAGCAGTAAATCAAGCCATGGTTGCCTCATTCACTGTCTTGAAATTTTCGTTGGTTTTCAGGTGGCATCTTTCCTGAGAGGCTCCAGTGTTCACCAATTTTCTGGAAGTGGTTCGACGGGATTTAACACTGTAAAGAGTTATTTCTGGAAATACCAAGTAATTCGGCTATGGAGCTCAGGGTTGCATTTGGCTGATTCAGCATTCCCAACCCGCTCTGATCGATAGGCGATGGCACATTTTGAAGTTCAGTGACACTCTCTTCAGTTGTTGGTATCGGCATCTTCGTCTCAAAGATTACTCAAACAGTAGATAGTGCATGTTCGCGTCACACTAGGGGAAACGCCATTGGCTGAATGCGACATTTTAGGTTTGCTGGTCAATGGCCGTCTCGAACATCGGTCAACGACCAAAACAGTACGTAAAAGGGACTGCAACATATTGAGGGGTGTGATATTGCACGGTCAGCAACTACGTTATTACGCATACCGTTGGTTTGGGTTTTCCAAAAAGTGGGAAGATATTGGAAAATGCGACCTCTCAGGGCTATAACATAGAAGGAGATTGACTGTATAAGCGAACGAGTATAAGCACAACACTGCCACATCACAAGCACACTCGTTCAGTATTACTACAGATGTGCATCTATAGACATTATTCTCTACGTGTTTGGCAGCATTGAACGTCCACCCCCCTTCCGTGGTCCCCGTTCGGGAAACCCTGCAGTACAGTGTTTTTCTAAAGAATTAATATTCTGACACCGAGAAAATTTATTAAAGGACAAAGTTCCCGCCAATTTCAAGTGCCTTTTTAGATATTGAACTTTGCTCGTAGGCTGTACTTTTTCGAAGACAAAAACGATTTCTGAAATCCTACAAGTTACACCTATGAAACCACCGTTTCACCTTTGACCGTTTGAGCTGCGCATTTGATTCGATCACAAACTGGACAGCAAAACGAAGAACCACATGGTTGTCTGGTGCACACTATAGTTCAGACCTACTACGGGTGTGCATTTTTATACATTATTGACTACGTGTTTGACAGCACTAAACCACCCCGTGGTCCCCACTCGCGAAATATCCTAAAGTACTTGGTTCTAGATATTGAACTTTGCTCGTAGTTTGCACTCTTACGAGGGCAAAAACGATAATACAAATCTTTGACGTCACACTTATAAAATCACCTTCTCACCTTTGACCGTTTGAAGTGCACAAAATATGAACACGACGTCATATGCTATCAGTGAATCCGTTTCTTTCCATATCACTTCAACCTGTCGTTCATTCGATGGGTAGTTGCGCATTTGATTGGATCACAATCATTCAGAGGCTCTCCACCAAAACGAGCGAAAGTGGTTCATTGGATTTGTTGTATTCGCCAGGTGTACGAGTTTTGCTTCACTCGGTTCACTTTCATTCCACAATCGTCATTCGGTCAACATGCGCTTGTGTGTCATTCTTTGTCTCTTGCATTCACAACACTCCCGTCAAATTGTCGTTTTTATATGAAAATGAAAAAGCGCTGTGACATTTCATGACCGACCAGTGAAAACGCATGGACGATGGTTTCGGACCATCCTAATCAGGCGTTGATCCATTATATTCACAATCAACAAGTCAGATTACTTATTCCTGCACGCGTTCAGTGGTTTTGAACTTCGTTGTGTTTGACATAAACCAGGAATGAACAATCCACTCAGGCATTTCTACAAACTTCAAAGTGACGAACAGTTTCGACTATATTGAACACTGAGGGAACAGCTGCAGTTCTTAAGAGCGAAATTCAAACATTCCATGCAAAACATCAGGTAAATGTTTGCTCGTGTGACTTAATTTCGAGATTTTGAGCTTACGTTATGGGTTCTACCGTGGTCTTTGCTGACCATTTGGTAGATCGAAATTCTCAGTTGATAATTTTCGGAAGAAACCTGACAGTCAAATATCACATTAAAAGCTTGAACACGTTTCGTTTCTGTACCTCACCTCCAACCGTAGATTCCATGAATTCTAATAAGAATCACTATTTCCCAACGCGATTGTGCCTCTATGCATACCAGGCTTATCACTTTGATACGGGGTTGCTAAACCGGAACATCAACATAATGGATTGGTTCGACCGACGCCTGGATTTGAAACCCAATGAAAATGTATGGTTTCTTGGATTTAGGAATCTTTTTGGCTAAGTGAAGTAATGTCTAGAGAACGCATCCTGGAGACGTCAAAAACAGCTTAATCTCTCTATAAAATGTCTAGCTAACATGCTGAGTCTATTTGACGACTATGGATTGGTATTCCACACCATCTACGAAGTCACGACAGTTGTCCTTTATGAATAGATTTTGAAGTTCACATAGTCCAGAACCTGAGTGGAAGTATACCTGAGTGTTGGTTTCAATCATAGATGTGTTTCATAACGATCTGGATATATTTATCGTTATTCTGTGGTGGGGACAAGCGTGTTTCGCACACCCAGAAGCACATTATTTAAGAATGCGAAATATTGCCAAAGGCACAACCAAAATCCACAGTAGTGACTTGTGTCAAATTTCTCATTGGTGAATAATTTATTTCTCGAGAAATTCCGGGTAAATGGATGAACACTATTCCGAATTATGCAGCAGTCCAGCAAGAAATGTTTGAAACACGAGTGGATAGTTCGGGTTCTAAAATAGCTTCTAAGCTTTGGTGACCTCCAAAATCCATTTTCAACCTTATTTTGAATTTTTCCGTTCTATATTCAACAGTTGCCTAGGATCAAGGATGTCAGCTGTCAACCATGTGTTTCTCCAATACACAAATAAAGGTATTTCATGGAAAATTCAATTCTCCAATAGTTTCATGTTCTCAAGTGTCACTATCATTTCCATATTTATTTCAACGACTTAAATCATACATTTTAAGAAAATCTGGCTCTCAAAGGATAAATCTATCCCAGAATCTGGTCTAGAACCGAAGATGTGGAGTGTCATAAGCTCCTCAGAATGCGGAATCAACGA